GAAAAAAAAATTATTTTTGGTTCAGAGTAAAATTTCAGATTTGTTACCGGTCGCGTCCGCTTGCGTCGCCTCGACTAGAGTGAACCTTCACGCGTCGCAAGCAGCCGGCGATTATTGCCCCTCTCTCTCTCTCTCTCTCTCTCTCTCTCTCCCTCTCCCCCCCCTTGCCGGGTCTTGCAAAAACGTTTCTGACGTCAACTTCCCATAGGAGTGATCGTAGGAGTGCACTGTCGTCCTGCGTTAAAAATGGCAGTATTCAGTAGCGTCAAAACCCTTTTGCATCAGGGCGGTCGCGAGGACGCCGCGGTCGTGGGAGAGACCGCGGTCGTGTGAGCGGCCATTTTTTTTTTTTTTTTTAAACTGCGCGTGTTTTGGCTTCAGCCAAGTTCTCGTTACGAATCCTCTTCGGAAAAGGAGCGCAAACAAGCGCAAAGACTCTTTGCCTGCGCGCGCAATTCACGCGCAGTGGCGACGACGCTATTCTTTTTGTACGCAAGGCTTTAGCGTGCGCTATTCTAAAACTGCCTATTGGGGAGTTTTAGAATAGCGTACGCAATTTTAGCGCACGGTAGCGCTAAATTTAGCGCTTTGCGTTAGCGCACACTACGCAAGGGAGGTTTAGAATAGCGTTTTTCTGCCGCGACGCAAAAGCCCAAGCATCTCACGCTTGCAACGCCACCAAGATACAATTTTATTTCACATTTTCACAATTTTCACAGTTTTATTTCAAGATACACTTTTATTTCACAGTCACATTTTCACAGTTTAGAGTAACATTTCCGGTTTGTTTAAAGATAAGAATGCGGTCTTTAACGGCGCACGTCTTGGCTTTAGCCGATTTCTCATCACGAGTCCTCCTTGGAGGACTCGTGATGAGATGATATACGCACGCAATTTCAGAGAAATAGCGTATACGCTAAAATAGCGCACGCAAAGCGCAAAACGTGGTTAGCGTTCGGCGCATGCGCAGTGTGGGGACGACGCTATTCTTTTGCGTATGCGCAAAGCTTTAGCGTGCGCATGCGCAGTGTGGGGACGACGCTATTCTTTTGCGTATGCGCAAAGCTTTAGCGTGCGCATGCGCAGTGTGGGGACGACGCTATTCTTTTGCGTACGCGCAAAGCTTTAGCGTGCGCTGTTCTAAAACTGCCTATTGTCGTCCGTTCGTGGCGCGTTTTGGAAGTTTTGTTTTGGTGGGTAGCCAAAGTCGCATCTCAAATGGCCCGCGGTGTTGGGAGTTTGTCAATACGCATTCGTCTTTTGTCAATACGTATTCGTCTCCTTATTTTTTTCTTCTTTCTTTAGTTTGAAATAGCGGTTGTCAACACACACGCGTGCTTTGCATGAAAGTGAAAGTTGTTCGAAGGTGTCTCGCAAGCTGATGTCAAATTGGCAACGCGCGATCGTGGGCGTTACGCCGCTGTTGGCGGTGGCGCTGTCGTCGTCACGGCACATGGAGAGCTATGCTTCGTTTTATCCGGATCAGACAGGTTCTTACGACAACAAAAGTTCGTAAACTTATCATACGACACAGTTACGAATTTTTTAGTATTCCCGGAGCAAAATGTTCGTACGTTTTGCGTACGTTACGACGAAATCTGGATTTCGTCGCAACGTACGCAATCCTTACGAACATTTTGCTTCAAAAATACTCGAAAGTTCGGAACTTCGTCGTATGATAATTTTAAGAACTTTTCAGAAACTTTCGGGAATCTGCTCAAGGAAGACGCTCGTGCCGTTCTTATATTCCGTATTCCACAAACGGTGCGCAGCGCTGTCCAGCTTCGAGGGCATAGCTCGAAGCTTTTGCAACACGCTTCAATAGCTCAGGCAACAATGGGCGCGTTAAGTCGGGGCTCTTTTACTCCTACTCCGACGCTCCGAGTTTCATACTCCGAGCGCAGCAACTAAACGGCGCATATCGTACAGGAGCGCGACACGCCGAGGCTGCTTTCCAAACCTACTCAAATGGATCCGAGTTACCCTGACGGATTATGTCACGTGACAACAAAAATGGAGAAACACTGGACGCGGGTAGGTTTTCGATAACCACCTGTACCCAGGGTTAGATCGAGTAAGTTTTGGAACACGGCCAGAAACTATCGACGGGCCACACCCGCTCCTTCCGACCGTGGTTACGGGTGGCAGAAGCCGATATGAAGTTTCTCCGAACGTTTTAATATTCCTGAAAGGTTTGAAGACTCGCATCGTGCAGATATGTGGAAGGTTACCTTGGCCGATCTATTTAGTGACCATGCATGCTGTTCTGATTTAAGTTAAAGACCACATTGTCGAACCCGCTCGTCGACGCAGGGAACCCTCAAATTCGTGAGAGATTCCCCGGCTCCGTCGGTTCCGTCTCGCAGCGAGACGGAAGCTCCGCCGATACCGGCACACCGTCGTTCGATAGCACGTCAATTCGTTTTTAGGCGGTAGGCATGAACAAACGTTTCCCGCAACGCTAACTGGTGTTTCGGCTTTCGAATCTAAGTATCTTTATTCGCTGCGGCTGGGCTAACCATTTTAAGCAGGGCAGCGGTCTGTCTTTTTATCACAACCTTTCTGTCGCCGAGCTATCGGCACGCTCGTTCGATGGATTTATTCGTTTTCAGGCAAGACGGTGCCTGAAGTCCGTCGGTGTTCTCATTTTCGAGCGGACGATCTGTGGCGCTGCTGCACGTGCCAGCGACGTAACAACGACGTGACTAGTAGTCACTATATATTGCTACAGAGAGGAACGACGCTCGAACCGTTTCGGCGCTTCAAATCACGGCTTGCAGTTGTCTGAAAACTTGGTCCGAAATCGCAGGAAACGGTTTTCCGTTCAGCAGAAAGAAGAAAAACAGTCGGCAAACAGCAACAAGGACACCGCCCGAGAGCTTCCTCAAAAGGTTACACGTTCTGGAAAGTCGCGTTTTTGAATCGCATGCAACTATCGCCACCAGACACCCCCTTTTTTTTCTTTTAGTTTGTGTAGCAACATTGATGGTCGCCGTTTCTTGGTCATCCTGGTGATGTCCCACACTGCCTTGTTATGAATGATATATAGTTAGGGGGAGAAAATTAGCTTAGAAGGGCGGGAGCAATCATGTTTGTCTTTTTAAACTTAGGCTATAGGTGGCGCAAGCTTCCGCCCGGTGCAAAGGGCATAGCCATTATAGCATCCATGCCGAACGCTGACTCGTCGTTTTCAATACGAGCCGAGTCGCGAGGTTCGCGCCGAACGCAGCCGTTGTGTTCTATACATGATCCGAGTATATGGGATGAGGCAATGGTGGACAATCGATGGCGCGAACTAGAGACACTGAATGAGCTGCGTGAGAGTATTGGCACTCCGTTCTCCGACTTTGTTGTGGGCGCCGCCATTTTGGGGCTTGTGCAGAGCAGACGCAACTGCCGATCGTCATGATTCGAAAGTGCGACTTCCTCAGCATTAGATTCGGCGTTAGGAGGCTCGTGTAACATTGCTTTGCTTTGTCGAGAACTGTTTAATCATTTGTGGAGGACGGAAAAGCGTTTCCTGTGATTTCAGATACAGCTTCAGCCAACTGGCAAGCATGATCTTAAGCTACAATATGACCAAATGTCGTTACTCTGAAGCGTAGCTTATTTAGTGGCACTTGAGCGGACGTTTGAAAAGGGGTTTATATGGTGCCCGCTTTGCACTGAGCACCAAAATGGCGAAAAATATGCCAAAGAAAATAAATGCATTCAAAACTTAGTAAAAAAAACTGTGCAGGTAGTTTTGCTTATAGAAGAATATTGAGGACTTTTTTCTTTTTTCTTTCATATCTGACGATGCGAAGAATGTAAACACTATGTAGAATGTTGATCAGCGCGCGACCTTTCAAGTAAAGCGAAGCGTGTTCAATCTTCGCGAAGGTTGCAGAAAGTTATTATTATCGTAATTCCGAGCAGTTCCTGCCGGGTCCGCTCGAGCGGATATGGGTCTTCGAGCCACGCAGTTGCACAGAGTGCGCTCGCGGGAAGTCATCTCGTACCGCGCTTGTTCCGATTTTTTCTAGTGAGATATATCGTCTCGTCGGTTCTATAGAGGGAAGCATATCTATCGGGCGTCTAAGACGCACCCATACTGACTTCCGTGCACCGCGTTTTTGGCGGTCACGTTATTTTAGGCAGACGTAAATGCCATCTCATCGGTGCTGTACAGCCATATATCTCGGTGGCCTTCGTCACGAGCCGAATCCAGGGCAACCGCAACTTTTCCCAAAGCCTCGGACGATGAAAAACGTTTGAACTTGACCGGACGCGTCCGAAGAACGTAATTTCCGCTCGGTAATAAACATGCCGTTCGCGCGAAGAAAACGGTAGCTTGCGTGTCTGTGTCGATAAGAGATTCACTCGCTGACGGCTCCGCGGATGTGCTACGGGTACGGCCTGGTGCGTCGTGGCGAGAAGCACAGCAAACGTGTTTATACACCCTTTTTCAAAACATGTTCAGCCTTTCCACTCTGGTGAAGAAGCTGTAGCTTCTGTTCTCAGCGGTGGCTTTCCAGTCGAGCGATCTGCTCTTCTTTCGCGAGGGAATCTGAAGCGCTCGGCGCAGTGGAACTTGAGGCGATAGCGGCCTCGCGGCGGTTGCGGAACCATTCGCGCTGCTGCGCACATCGCCGACGCTCATTGATGATGGCACCGAACTCTGGACAGCTACCGCCATCTATGAGCGACGGCGGCAACGAGCCGGTTGTCTAGTTGCCGCCGTTGCTCATAGATGGCGGTAGCTGTCCGGAGTTCGGTGTCATCATTTCTTTGCTGGTGGACACGATCCTGCGGAAGCTAGCCCTTGGCAGCTCCGCTATAAGAGTCTGATAACAGTGAAAAAAAAGCTCGATCTTGCTGGGTACACTGGGCAGCAGACGCCATCTTGAAGGGTACCCCCGTTCTGTTTATTTTTGTGTTTTTGTGATGCGCTCGCGCCCACCTTTTTGTAAAAGATGGGCGAGTGTGCGCGTCCTTATGCCGAATGTCTCCCGTTGCAGGCTCTGCGGCGTGGTGGTGCAGCGGAAGCCCTGCCCATGTAGCAGGCTCATGGGTACCCGCGCCACGTTGCTGCTACTCGTCGTCGTCGCCGCCGCCTCCGTGGCCGCCGCCGACTGGTTGCAGCCGACGCTACGTGAGTCTCTCTTCCTTTTCCCTCTTTAGTCGAGCGACGCACGCGACGTGTGCCCGGGACACCCCGAGCAGGACACATGGGTGAACGGTTCAACCGTTGGGCCACTGGGTACACCGAGACAGACTAGGAAACGAGAAACCACGTGACTTCCCGAATCCCTAATTCCACGTTTCTCTACGCTGCATCAATCTCTAAAATTAGCCTTTTTTTTTTGTGTCTCACTTGCGCGATATGACGGGTAAGAAAAATTCACATGGTTGTGTGTCTACTTACACCAGATAGAGTTGCGCCACCTGACGGCTCCTTGTCGTGATGTAGGAGCAAGGATCAGATGACTTGTTCTGCGCTCCGTGGGTAGCATGTAGGCTGAGGTTTGTCGTTCACAATTCACGTTTCATTCGGTATTTTGAAGGAGAGTTTAGAGTTTTTTTCGATCTAATCTTTTCGTTGTACTTCTCGTCGAAATTAAGCTCAAGCAGCTAGCGTGACAACTCTGGCTCCGCGGCCTACGGAACAGGACCCAGCGACCCGGCTTCGTGAGTCTTGGCTTCGGAGGCTTGTCAAGTGACCACTATAGATTCTGCAAGACAATGCAGTACCGGAGCGAGCGCAGCAGATGCTACAAGAGCGAACTCCAGGGCCGGTTTGCTCATCTTGCGGCTGCGGCTGCGGCCGCGGCCAAGAGGGATTTTTACGCCACGTGACCAGCTCCATGGGGACAAGGAAGTACCTAGCGTCCCTGCCTTATGGCGGAGTGATCCGCATCGCTTCAAACACAAAAGCCTAATGTCGCTCGCAGGAACTGATTGCAGGGACTTTCAACTGGAGTCCAATTGACCGCCCCGTTATACTGTAGGAGCGGCAGGTAAAGTTACGGCCAGGGAGGGTAAATAGGAGCCAAAATAAAGAAGAAACCATAGGAAACAAAAGGGGTAGCAGTATATTTATCTATCTCCGCCGGCGCCGGCGCTTTGCCCCTTTTGCTATGGTCGAGAGGTTTAAGCGCCGGTACTTGTCGCGGCGTGAAAGTTCCGGGTTCAAATCGCGCTAAGGACTTGTTTTTTTTTTTTCTTTTTTTTTTTTTTGTATTTTGCGCGTGTCTTGCTTTTTAACTGTGATCCTTTTTAGGAAATCATCCACTTGCACTACTGCGTCTTACACGGTTTTTACAGTTAGTCCCACCTGTTCAATCGAAACACCGGGAAGAAAAAAGAAAGGATCAACGCAAGTTAAAGGGACCATGAAATGACCTTTTTACTTTTTCCAGATAACTTTTACATTAAACCGTCAATGTTCACTGAATGCCGAACAGGCATCCGTTTTCGTCTCGGTTTATTAACTTTTACACAAAAAATTATTGAAATATCGACTTTTTCATTCTCTCCAACTGACCGCAAAAGAAGCCGTGACGTAGACCGTTTCCGGAACCGGAAGTTCTCTCGGCAGTAGGAGAATGGGAGTGTTAGCGGCAACGAGTTGGGGTGCGCCGGTAGGTTCTACTGCGCTGATGTCACCGACGTATTTCCTGAATCGGCGCCTCTCATCGCCGCATCGCAGCTGAGCGAAATTCAATGAGATATGTTGCGCTACAGCGACAGCATGGGACTAGTCCCATACGCCGGTATGCCTGTTGGGAAGTGCAGCGAGTCTTGTCACCACCCCGTCATTGTTGGCAGAAGGGCCGGCCCGTGTCAGTCGTTTGCAAAGCGACGTAAATGGCGTTTTTCGCGGCCTCGGAGATGCAGGAGCGAGCCGACGTTAAAAAAGATACGTTTGAACTACGAGTGTCAGCAAGAGCCACGTAAATACCTGTTTACACTCGGAGCGGACGCGCGCGCTTGATGGAAGTCTTGTATTCGCGCTGTTGGTAAGCGCTTCGGGACCGTTCTTTTACGATTGCAACTCGATACTGACGCGACACTCGGCAAAGAAAGGTTGGACCGGGGTCGACAGTGACGTGCAGTCTGTCAGAATAAAAATGGCATACCAATAACAAAGTGTACATACCGTGTTATGAAGGCAATCCATACGGCGTTTATTTCAGCTCTATATCACACAAAACAAGAAGATAGAATCGACGAGAGTCCCTTTTCGACGAGTGTTCGTCAACACTGCCTCGGAAAACAAGGGGAAGAGATTGACCTCACCTCTTAATCTAGAATTGAGGTCAGTGATCAAACTATAATACGGGAAGGGTCCACAAGGGTCGCGCGGGCATATTCCATTTAGCACGCCAGCCGGTCGTAGGCAGACGGTCTTGCGACGAAGCAACGCAGCGCCGAGTCGGAATGCCTGCTAGGCCTATACGCTTCGTCGGAGTCGGTGAATCCAGCGTTCTTGTTCGTCGTGGTCTGTTTTCAGTACTGTTTTCTTGCTGCTTGAAGTCGGCACGCGCGGGAAGAACACGTAGAAAAATAAACGTTCAGTCAGTCAGAGTTTTGAGAGGAAGGAAAACAAACAAAATAAATGTTCGTCGGTCGCCGTCACCCAAGTAACTGGCGGCCCTGCCCTACTGCGCACGCGCAGTAGTTGCTTCGTTTACCACACGATAGATGGCGCTTGGCTCTCAGCATGATCAAATTTGGCAATTTTCGCCACACATCTCTAATTATGCTACAAAATGTGGATCTGAATATTATTTAACAAAACTTTTAGGAAACATTCGCCGGCTATTTATTGTTTACGATCGCGGTGCTGGTGAGGTAGGCTCTTACCCAATAGGCGATGTGGATTCGGCTGACGTGCACCGATTCTGCGTATGCATCGTAGTGAACAGGCGAAGGAAGGAAGGCGCAAAAGAGTCCAGTTTTCTTTTAAAATTTTTTTTGGGCTCCCTATTTTTGTGTTTTTGTGTTTCTTTTCACACCTTTTACGACGTGCGGTGGATGAAACTCGATTTTAAAATCATGTCATGGTCCCTTTAACGCGCTAACACAATCATTTCATAATGTTCATTAAAAGGAAACCAAGATAACAGCATCGCTATGGCTTTCACACTAACGGAGCCGAAACACGCATCCTTTCCCCAGCAACTAGTTTTATGTGTTTTTAAATATACAACGCTCTTGCTACGATTCCTTTCAATAACAAGAGACGCCTATTTAGGACTAATAAAAACTGCAGTTGTGACAATTAAAAAAAGAAACAAAAAAAACAAGCAAAAAAAAAAAAAAAAGACTAGCAGCTGTGGCTACACTGATTGAGCGAAATCCCACAGGCAAGGCAGCAAGTCAAACGTCTGAGAAAGTAGTAAAACCGAAATAAAAGCGATTATACTTTTACTTGCATGGAATGTGATAAAAAGTATATTTATACTCTTTACATTTTGTTGTGGCAATCGTTTTGTAATATTACCACATTACTTGTTGAATTTTAGTGAGATTAGCGGACGATCACGACCGAATGCAAAAATGAATCAGGTGTCGACATCGCAAACCCTCTTTCTAATGCAAACACCTAAAATGACTTTGGAACAACAAATGGAATTCATTATAATTAATTTAATTTATGATCCAAAGTCATTGTAGGTCCCTCACTCTAATGCAAACTCCTAAAATGACTTTGGATCAACAAATGGAAAGAAATGATTGTATTAGCGCGTTAACTTGCGTTCATCTTTTTTTTTTTTTTTTTCCTTCCCGATGTTTCGATTGAACAGGTGGGACTAACAGAAAAAAACCGTGTAAGGCGCAGTACTGCAAGTGGATGACTTCCTAAAAAGGATTACAGCTAAAAATTAAGACGCTCACAAAATACAAAAAAAAAGAAAAAAAAAAAAACAAGTCCCTAGCGCGATTTGAACCCGGAACTTTCACGCCGCGACGACAAGTACCGGCGCTTAAACCTCTCGACCATAGCAAAAGGGGTGAAGCGCCGGCGCCGGCGGAGATAGATAAATATACTGCTACCCCTTTTGTTTCCTATGGTTTCTTCTTTATTTTGGCTCCTATTTACCCTCCCTGGCCGTAACTTTACCTGCCGCTCCTACAGTATAAAGGGGTGGTCAATTAGGTTCCAGATGAAAGTCCCTGCAATCAGTTTCTGCGAGCGAAATTAGGCTTTTCTGCTTGAAGCGATGCGGATCACTCCGCCATAAGGCAGGGACGCTAGGTACTTCCTTGTCCCCATGGAGCTGGTCACGTGACGTAAAAATCCCTCCTGGCCGCAGCTGCGACCGCAGCCGCAAGATGAGCAAACCGGCCCAGGCCTCCAGCGTTCCTGCCAAGCACCTCTTGCAGTGCAAGCACTGTTCAGTGCCTGCACCGCCCGAGCATGCTCGCTCTTGTAGCATGGGCTGCGTCTGAACTTGAGCGGAAGCGAAGTGTACAGCCTGTCGGACGCAGGCAAATCAAACAGAAATCATTCGCCAGGATGGCCGAGCAGGCGTCAGACTCGGCAATCCATCGTCGTTTTAGAGCGCAGCTCTTAGGCGCCCGTTTCCGGCTTGAGCGGCGTCGGCGTTACCGTAAGGTCACGTGACCCCCAGGATCACGAGGGAGGAGGGGTATACCCTCTTCTCAGTACCCTTCCCTCCTCCTCCTCCTCAAGAGCTGCGCTCTAATTCGGCGTTTGTAAACGGCTTTAATTTTTTTTTCGCAGTTTGCGCGGTTTTGAGGCTGCCGTGGCCCGTGGAAGCTAATCGAGTGTTGAAATAGCACGCACGCGCGGCATCACCATACTGCGTTACCTTCTGTGGTAACTTTTAGGGCTCCATGCTTACGTGACGTTCGGCAAAGCAAGTGCACGTTGGTCCGGTATCGCGTAGCTATAGCGTATAGCTACCGAGACATGTTCTAGCTCAATCCGTGTTGACGTTTGTACCATCGTCACCTCGGAAAGAACTATACGTACACGAAAAATGAGGTGTAGAGTAATCCATAGTTCCATACTCACCTACTAACCGGAAGATCTAGGTCTAGGTTCAAGTTATTGACACAAAAAGAAGCCGGCTAAAAAGAAGGAATAAAGAAAGCACTCGGGTGAAAGTTGTTTGTTCGGCA